TTCCAAAAGGACTCTACTCCCATTCACCCTGATTCACAAACAAAATGTAATCCCTGTAATGACTGCTCTCATCCCAGGGAAATGAAAGCCTGGCGCTGCAGCGAGGAGGGAAATCAGGCTCGGGGCTGATCCGCGGAGGTTCAGCGTCACAGGGTCTGTTTAGGAATGCAAAACACCGGCTGGGGAATGCAGAGCTCTGCCACTCGCTTTCCATCAGAACGGGGACAATTAATAAGAGCAGCCTGAAACTTCTGAAAATAAATCCGGCGTAATCAAACACTCCCCGCTCCACAAATTAGGGGAGGCAGGCTGAGAGCGGAATGGCAACACATCATTCCTTCAGGAGGCTCTGAGTTCCTCAGCCAGTTAAAGAGCCCCAAACCCACAGCCACCACTTCTACACAAGCTGTTCTTTCCCTCCCCAGTCTCTGAAATTCTCTGCTGATAAGGATTTTTTTTAGTGGCAGTGAGCAAACCCCAGCGCTTTTGCCACTGATCCCGCTCGGGTGAGGAACTTGCTCTGCTTTACATCTTTGGGAAAGAGAGAGAGAGAGAAAGAACTTGAGATTGATCTTACAAGGCAAAAATACAATATAAATGCCAATTATTATCATAATCCAAGTCTTACAAAAGTGACTGACCTCTGACTAAGCACAGGGCTCGCAGCCAGGCACTTCTGAATTCTACTCGAGGCACAGACTGATTCGCACCGACACCCTTATCTGTCTAACCCTAACCTTCCCCACTTCCAAAATCTGGGTTTCCTGCTATTGTTGCAGTTCTGCAGCAACAAGGCAAGGATTCAAACTCTGAGGCTGGATTCAAGGGCAGATTGAGGGATCAGAAGGACTAACAAACAGAGAGAAAAAGCTGTGGTGGCAGCTGAATGCTGAACCAGGGCCCAAAGCCCCAAACCTGTGCCAAGAGCAAGGAGGAGCTCTTGGATTCGGGAGCCAAAGACTAAACTTTGGATATATCAGCTCTGTAACAGAATCAGGGCAGGTCTTGTGTGCTTGAATTACAGTAAATCTCACCAGCACTCTGAAATACTGCCTTTAACCCACATGAAGAAACACGAAGAGTCAAGGACAATAAACCTGAGATGTGGGCCTGACCTAAACACCAGACTGGTCCCACTCCTAGAAGTGTTCCAGGCCAGGCTGGAGGAGTTTTGGAGCAACCTGTTCTAGGGCAGGGGATGGAATGAGAAGAGCTTTAAGGTCCCTTCCCATCCAAACCATTCCAGGACTGTTTGATAAGTCACATATTTTCAGCTGTCAAGATCACAGGTATAGTGCTGTGCTCTGCCTCCCCCATTTCACTTCAAAACTTGACCAATCCTTTATTAAAATCCAGACAGCATCTCCAAACTCTCCTCCATTAAATCTGCCAGCTGGAGCATCTAAGTACTTGAAACTGCAGAAGATCCCTGTGAGGCAGAGAAGTAAAACTACTCTAATTTTTGGGACTGAGAGCTCCCAGAGAGGGGCTGGACTTCAGACAGACAAGTCTGAACGTGACCTGTTCAAAGTCACACAGGAATTCTGCAGGAAGGCAGAGCCAGTCCTGGCCAAACTCTGAGTGTCATCCCACAGGGTCCATCTACAGCACCAGACATGACAAGGTGTAGGACAAGTTCCAAGCAAAGCCATCACCAGGATTTCCACCACCTCTTCCACACGGGAAGGAAAAGAATCATCCTGAAGTATTTCAGGCCCCTTCCTTCTCCCTCAGGATCCATCCCCAGCAGGAACAACCAAAACACTTCCTTAAAAGAGAGATTTGTTGCTTCAGAAAACTGAAATCGAAACCCAGCAAGCAGCTGAACCTCACCTACTCCTGATTTTGTGCTTAACTACAAAGCAAATAATTTTCCACTAGAAAAGCCAGTCTGCAAGTGCAGTTTCACTGGCACAGCCTTAATGAAGACAGAGACTCCACTTGGAGAACAACTCAGGAACAGATAACGGTGTCTCCTTGAAGAATATAAATCATAATGGCAAAAACATGGGCTTTTGGCCACAGCTGCCTCCATGTTAAGAGTTTTATTTTAGTTAAAAGCATTTCAGAAAGAAACAAATGTCCCAATTAATGCTCTTAAAGCAACAGTTTTTTGTGCAGTCCAGACCTGAACTAGGGAAATTTCCTCTTGCAATGATATGGAGAAGACCCATCTGCATTCTACACTGCTAAGGCCCATGTCCCCAAGTGCCACATCCACAGGGCTTTTAAATCTCTGGGAAGGGCTGAGAATCCATCATTGGCAAAAAACATTGGGGAAAAAAATTTCCATTCAACAGGATTTTTTTTTTTTTTTAAGGACCCTTTCAGAGTGGCTGTGAAATCCCAAATTAACTCATCTGGTTTATCCTAAAGTAAAACCACAGGCTCGGGCAGGACACTCTTTCAGTTAAGGAAGCCCTAAAAAGCCAACTGGATATTCCTACAACCACCAACCATTTACATGATACCTCATCAAGCAAGACAAAAAAAAGAGAAAATGAGCTGAGTCTTCTTTCACCCAAGTTTAATTAAGGTGGTTTGTGCCACATTTCAAGGGCACTGGGACAGTTACAGCTCAACCTGTGGTGGTTTTACTCTCCAAGCCACTGTAACTCCAGTGCCTGCTCCTCAACGTGTGCTGACTTGGGAGCATCCACATCCTCAGGGTTTTTTTTTTTCCCCTTCTGTTGTTTTCCCTAAATGATGACAAGGCTTCAATCCAGTCCTTTTCCATCTGCATTACTCATTCTCTTCCCACTCAGAAGGCTTTTACTCACTCCCCAGACAGCCCTGTCATTGCTGGCAATTAGACTCACGAGCACCAGCCTGATAATTCAGGTAAACTTCAGGTGACGACGCTGCAACTGTCTGGTTCCCTCAGAACTCATATTCTGAGGGATGCAAAACATGCTGATGGTCGCAGCTCACTCCTAACACATGTTAATTAATATTAATTAATCAATACTGCCATGAGCCCGCGAAGCACAAGTAATTCCTCCCGTTATATTTATGGAGAGCCCAAGAGAGAAACCTGTGTTGGTTTAGTTTCAGATAAATGACTGATTCTTGTGAGATCAAAATCAAGAGTTCTGTGGTCACACCATGCCCCAAACTCCTCTCAAGTACTGACTCCCATCCAGCTGTGGACAAAAATTAGGCAGGAGAAATGGTAACTGCAGCCAGGTTCCTACTCGGCTGTTCTGCGAGTCGGAATAACCCAACTCCTCCCTTACCAGTAGTTTTGACTGTTCAATCTTTACCTTATTCAGTATTTAAGTTCAAACTTTTAATTTTTTTTTTTAAGGCTCCATTTTCTTCTTTCCCCTTCTCGATCCCACCTACCCTTTTTTTTTTTAAAGATATCTATGGTCTAATTTGGAAGTTTTATACCTAAATGGGTCATCTCGGCCCATTTGCTCTAATTTATTACTCTCTAAACCCTTCCAAATAGGTTCATCCTGGTTTCCCCTCAGTCAAAAATTGTTCACCTCTGTTTCCACTGCCTCCTGTTAACTGCACGTCCACTGGAATAAATCAAAGCTGCTGCTTCTGCTCTGCTGGGAGGTGGGGCTGAAAAACTGCACAGGGGCAGAACAGGACTGAAATCCCAGCACAGCAAACTCACAGCACGCAATTCCCACTTTGGAAATCCACGGTGAAAGCCTGACACAAAGTCAAAAGCTGTCACGCTGTCCTTGTGCTCACACGAAGCGATCCGAGATCCCTCTGCAAACTCTGGATTACCAGGATAATGAAGATGCACAGGGCAATGTGGCCTTACCTCCTGCTGTGAACTAGATCTTTACAGCTCCAAGTGGTGATTTTAATACTGAAATCCAACATATTTCCAGCTGGAGGAAAGAAGAGGAGGTGGCTCAGGGGACTGGCAACAAAGCAGGAAACCACTGGTTTTGAATAGAAGGCTAAAGCCACCAGCAACAGAAAATAAGTAATTAAGGGCTGTATCAAGAAGTCTTTTTAAAATCCATTGGAGTATGGATTCCAACCAAAAAAAAAAAATCCCTGGCAGCTTTATTTTTGCTGTGGCTCCCTCTACAGAAGCCTGTGACTGCACTGCCACAAGGATAAATCTTCATCCTTGAAATAATCCAGCTGGAAAAAACGTGGCTGCATTCACAGCAGTCCAGTTCCTTTCCACTATTCCCTGCTCAGACTGACAGAAAGCACAATCCAAAGTCAAGAGGTCAAAGTATCTCAGGAATCTGATTGCTGGGGACAAGCCAACAACAGGGATTATTTGGAGCAGCGGAACAGGAACAACCAGTGGGAGATGAGGGAGAGCACAGAGCAGATCAAGCCTTTCCCTTCAGCCTTCCAGCTTCAACATTTGAATTCATTTGCTTATTTACTGAAGAAACAGTATGGAGACCAATTACATGGAAGATTTACGACAGAAGCCATTTAAAAAAAAAAAAAAAAAAACCAACAACTGACAGATATACACAACGCCAATTCCACCTGGGACCCGAGATACTGCTTGGAACAGCCCATCCAATCCCAAGGTGAGGTGGCCCAGGTTTTCTTCCTTTGCCATGTAACACTGAACTGATGGTGTTCTCAGCCCTTTTGCCAAGTCTGGAGCGGTGCTAAACTCCTGCCCAGCTCAGGTATCCCTTCAGTATCTCTCCAATATGCTCAGTAGATGTACGAAGATCTCCCTTTTAACACTAATTTTTCTCTGATCAAGGCCAAGTTTCAAAGAACAGCATGGTTTTCTTTCTCCTTCAGAGACAGTAAAATAGAAATAGCAACAATACATCACTAGTGAGGAATTACAAGTTACTATTCCCTGATTTAAATGTCTGGTTATTTTACTATTCCCTGGTTTAAATGTTCCACCAAAGGAGTGGAACTCTCCAGCAAACTGCTCATAATCATAGCAACCATTTCTCTGCTCTTTTTACACAAATTAACAGGAAAAAAAACACACCATCAAATGATCTTAATTGTTCTGGGTTTCTTCAGCTTGTACTTACACTACTGGAAAAGTTCTGAGCATACTTTACATGGGGATGGGGCGTTATAAAGCCTCTTGAGGGTCTTCAGTGTTATTCACCATTCTGTAAGACACAAGGAAACGACACATTAGAGATGTCTGTGCAAGGCAAAGAGATTCAATCCCATTGTTCTGGATAAACTGTCACTAATCCAGACCCACAGAGGCTCACGGACCTCAGTGCACGTGGCACATTCCTCAGGAGAAAGTCTGGTGGTGTCATCAGTCCAGAGACAAAAAATTTAAATTACAATTGATTTCTCTTGGCCACAAGTAAATTAATCTATGCAATCATTTAGCCTTATGACAGTTACCTACCCTTTTAACTCACAAAAGCTATTAAAAGGATTATTTGGCCAACATCCTCAAGAGAGCTCAGAGACAGGTACTGTGTTCTGAGGAGGAATGACCTAATAGAGTTTTCTTTAGCTATTACTGCTCATGTTTTTCTCCCCAAACTAACATGGACTGAAAAGTGCTCCAAAAGTCAAACTATTAACCAAAGGGAAAGAGAAAGGCAGGATGTTCTACCCAGGGACAATGTTTACACTTCAGGTTATGGGTGAGAAAACAAGCAGATAGAGCAGCACATGGATTTTGGGATGATTTCCTCTGCTCCATAAAGAGATGACTAATAGTGGCTATCATGGATTGCTATCCAGGGGTAGCAATCATGGATGGACACATCTTGCCTCTTCCAAGTGGTTAAATAAAGGTGGTCCAGGTACTACAGAATGACTTTTCCTTTATCACACCTGCTGGAGGCTTTGGGAAGAACTGCACCTATCCCAGATGGAGTCCCCTGGGCCGACACAGACCACAGAATCACAGAATTGTTTAGGCTGGAAAAGCCCCCTAAGGTCATGGAATCAAACAATGGTTTGGGTCCCTTACAGATCATTTTGTTCCAACCCCTGCCATGGGCAGGGACACCTTTCGCTCTCCCAGGTGGTTCCAACCCCCGTCCAACCTGGCCTTGGACACTGCCAGGGATCCAGGGGCAGCCACAGCTTCTCTGGACAACCTGTGCCAGGGCCTCACCACCCTCACAGCCAGCAATTCCTTCCCAATCTCCCATCTAACCCTGCCTTCTGGCAGTGAGAATCCACTCCCTGTGTCCTGTCCCTCCATTCCTTGTCCCCAGTCCCTCTCCAGCTCTCCCTGAGCTCTGGAAGGGGCTCTCAGGTCTCCCTGGATCCTTCTCTTCTCCAGGTGAACCCCCCCAGCTCTCTCAGCCTGGCTCCAGAGCAGAGGGGCTCCAGCCCTGAGAGCACCTCTGTGACCTCCTCTGGACCCACTCCAGCAGCTCCACGTCTTTCCTGTGCTGTTGTTCCCTAGAGCTGGAGGCAGCTCTGCAGGGGTGGGTCTCAAAAAAGCAGAGCAGAGGGGGAGAATCCCCTCCCTTGAGATCGAGTCCAACCATCCCCCCAGCACTGCCAAGGCCACCACTAACCCATGTCCCCAAGTGCCACATCCACTCGGCTTTTCAAGCCCTCCAAGGATGGCGATACCATCATTCCCGTGTTTTATTTTTCTTTCCCTCATGAAGAAACTCCTGAACTGTCAGGAAAAAAAGGCTGGGCTGGCTGAGCATTCCCAGAGGCAGCAGCACTCGGCTTTGGCCACCAGCTTTCCTGGGAGGTTCCAGCCTGTCCACACATTTGCCTTCTCCCACCCGGCCGTGGCCAAGGAAAGCTGGGTGTTCCCAGGGAGGGGAGCTGCTCAGAGCTGGCTGCTGCCACTTCCAAAACAAGTCATTTGGCCCACATGGAGCTGCCTCTTCCTCTTCAGGACAGGAGGTCACCCAGAGCAAGGTCACAGACACGATGACAGGTCACGTCCTGTGGCCTGGGAGTGAAACGGTGGCACCAAACCACTGATGGACGAGAGGGACAAACCCCCAGGTCCCCCCCAGTCACCCATCCCAAACCTATTAGAGAGGCTTCCACACCAAACCCCTCCCCTGTTAAATCTCTTAACTGCATTTTAAACATGTTCCCTGAGGCAGTCACAAAAAAAAAAATATGAGATCATGCTGTTGACTTCTTGCCAAATTTTAATACAGAGAGCTGGTTTGTTTTCCAAAGGGGAACAAATTAGACTTAAATATATACAAACTTTCTGAAGGTCAGAGAGGCTAATGATAGAGAACTGGATCCCTCAGAGAAGGATTTGCTTCCAGGGTGAGGAGCGTGGAAGAAGCAAAGAAGGAAACCCAGCAAGGAAAGATCACTTTCCATCATTGTGAAAATGCAGGATTAAAACTGGAACACGAGGAGATGAGATAAGAGAGGCAAAGAAAGGGCTGCAGTAACTCAGGTTTTGAGATGACAAAGGCAAGAGGGTGATATCAGTGATGGGAATGGAAGAGGAGAAAAAATGGCATGGACCTCAAATGTAAGTGAAGAGCCATTAGGATCTAGACCAAATTTGGGATGGGAACAGCAGAGGAAGAGGAGCTTTTCCAGGACAATCCAGATCTGGGTGTGCAGACAGAGGACGGTGGGATTTCAGCAGAGAAAAAGATCTCCATTTTTGCTGTGTTAGAGGCTGAGCTGGTTTTTATTACACTCAAGAGTGCAATCCCAAACTGTCCCAGACCGAGCCAAGCACCAGGGAAGGACAGGGAATCCTCAGGTCTGAAAGCAAAGGGAGCTCCAGAGAAAGGGGAGGAAGCTGGAGCTTCCCAAGGCTGCTGCCAGCACAGAGCGGCTGCTGTTGGAAAGGGGCACAAACAGTCTTTGCCTCCACGTCGGTCCGAAGTTCAGGGGCACAGAAACACCTTCCCCACCCCCAGACAGGCCTGAAGTTTGAAGCTGAAATGTTTTCCTCATTTCAGGGCACCCCAGACAGGAACCAACCCACCCCTCACCCGTAAATTTAGTCAAAAACAATCCAATCCCGACCAATATCAGTCACCAACAAATCATGACCAAAATCACGACTCAACATCCCTCTTTCCCTTTCAGCACAAACCAAAGCACCAAAGCCGGTCTGAGACAGCAGCAAAGGCAGGTGGCACCACTGTCTGCAGTGACAGGCAGGTAAGAGCTCACAGACCTTTGCCCTCTTCGCATTATTCATTAAATAAATGACCTGCTAAGGCAGGGAAAACACAACCAGCTCCCCTTTCCTTAGGGCTGGTACAGACAACAGAAAAAAATTAAAATTAAAAAAAAAAAAAAAGTCACTATTAATATGGAAATCGTGGCTGCAGTTGTAGAATCAGATGTAATGAACAATCCTGTCCCCAGCTTAAGTTTGCTATAAAGGCAGCTTAAATTTACAATGGATGAGTCCTCACGGCAATCTGTTTTTCAGATATTAAAAATCTCATTTTCTCAGTGCCAAGGACAAGTGGAAGTGTGAAGCACTGGAGTATCAACTCTGCATTTGTCTCACTTGACATGAAATCATTCTCGTTTTAGTTCCGAATTTTTTAATACATTCTTGGGATCCACTTCAGTTTTCTTCATTTCTCACTGTGTGCAATTAAATGTTTGGAAGTGGAGTTCACCCTGATCCACAACGCCCTGCAGCAGCATGGAGAAAGTCACTTGGTAAAGATGAGGCTGATATCACTTATTTGGAAGAGAAATTCATTTTCTCTTTTAATTTCTGAGTGACTCACCTAGTAAAAAAAAAAAAAAAAAGGAAAAGAAAAAGGAGAAAAAATCCATCACTTTGTATTTCACTAATACCTTCCTTGGTAAGTTCTTTTTTAAAAAAAAAAAAAAAAGGGCTTTACAAATAAGAAATTAAATGCTTGTGTCCTCGGGGAAGACAAACATCATCATTTTGACATAAGTAAAACACGAAGAGAGGGGCTGAATTCTTGGCTTAAAGCCACACAGGGCAGGATCAGTGGCTGAGCGTGGAATCTGCCTGAGGACATGGGCCCCACCACCACAACTGTCACACCAGAAACGCAGAAGCCCCGAGTTCCAGCCTTGCTGACAAACCTGAGGCGTTGGGTGGTGAAGAAATTAAGCCCAAAGAATGAAGTTCTGCCACTGCTGAAATCGAAGCAAAGGCCAGATCTGTAATTCGTGCAGAATTACAAACCAACCCTCTCCTAGAAATAGCAAAAAGAAATAAAATAAAATTCAAAACTCGAGCCTTCTACTGCATGTGCAGCTCCAGGTCTGTGGGAACTGCCAGGTCTTCTGGGTGGACCCTGGAAGGGACTGCCCGGGGAGGGGGTGGCGTCCCCAGTCCCTGGAGGTGTCCAAGGAAGGACTGGACGTGGCACTCAGTGCTCTGGTGGGGATCAGTCACAGGTTGGGCTCATTCCAGTTGGATGATCTTGGAGCTCTGTGCCAACCTAAATGATTCTGATTCCATGGGCTTCTCTTACACTGAAGCAGAACAGTCACCTGGCTTAACTCCTGTCCAGAGGACATCTTGCCTCAAAACCAGCAAGAGCCCAAAGATCCACCCATCCAACTCAAGTTCGTTCATCCAGGTGATTAATCACCCTCCCCATTACAAATTTGTACTTGATTTCTACTTTGAATGTGTCTGGCTCCAGATTGCAGACAGCAGCCTTGCCTTTGCCAGCTCCAAGCCCTTTTTTTCCTGGGAGCTGTTCAGACAGGCTGTTATTTACCCAGTGCTTTTAAAGCTCCAGGTACCGCACTCGTACCCGAACTCCACGACAAATTCATCTGGGTGCACGCACAAAAAGTAGGACTGGTGTCCAAAATACTAAAGCTAATCTAGGACTCTTTAGCCCATTTTCCCAAAATAGGCCTATTAGGAAAATAAAAAAATAAAAGGAAAAAAAAAAAAGCTCTGCCACATGACCGGAGGATGTGTTTGACTTGTGCCCTGGGAAGCAAGGTTAGGAACCTTCTCTAGGAAGGTCAGGAACCTTCTCTAAAGCACTGCCCCCTCCTGAGCAGCTCTGTGCAGTCACTGCACTGCAACACAGAGAGTTCTCGAGCCTTTGTGCTCCAAGTTATTTAAATGTCACTGCTTTAGGTGTTTAAACATCACAGAGCTCAGGCCAGCGTTTGGACAGTGCTCTCGAGAGTCCAACCCTCAGCCCTGCACCCAGGACCA